GATTAAGTAATAATTGTATTTAAATAAAAAATATCTTTATAAAGAATGTTTAAATATATTTTTTTATAACGTTACTAAAAACTGGACCACTTTCAAAATTTATGACACAATATGTAAATGAACTAAATTCTGTCTTCTCCGATAATCTACTTCTTTAACTATTTTCTCAAGTTTCTTGATTGGATTATATCTAATCATAATTATGATATTATTGTTTTGTTCGCATTAACGTACATATCTTTTTTATGAACGTATGTACGTTCATATGGATAATTACTCATATCAATGTACGTATTATCGAACGCATTTTTAAAACGGACTAGAAACGTCGATATCATTGTACGTTTGTATGGATATATGTTAGTTTGGCCACAGGGCAGTATATATTAATGTACATATTATCTAACGTATATTAAAATCATGTACGTTAAGTCAAATAGTTTGTAAATATTAATGTAAGATTTATCCAAAAAGTATCTAACTTAAGTGAAATTTTATATATTAGTTCGTATTATCGAACTGCAGATTGTTGTTATAAAATTTAATAAAGAAATAAAAAAAACGGAAACTCTTAAAATATTATTTATTATCAGATTCTTAAAGTTTGGAAACTTATGGGATATAAATTGATTAATAAAAATAATCTGTGACATTTAGAATCGAAGGTTTCATGGATATCTAAATTAATTCTGAAGAAACAGAATAAATAAATAATATGTGCTTAGAATAAATTTCACTTTAAAGTAAATGAAAATTCAAACAATATAAATTGTTATAATATCTTTTATATATTTTTCTATAATTTTAATGAAATTTAAAAATAAATTGTATTTAAGAAATTACATAAATGTTTCTTTTCTCTCACGTAATTAATCTTCCATTCAAATTATATAGCGAATAATATTATGAATTTCAAATAGAAACTAGTTTTCATTATTATACTTCTTTGTTTTTTGTACAAGATCAGGTGTTGAACTCTCGCCTATGGCCATAAAATGATTTATAGATACGAATCATTTTTAAATAATTTTCTAAAATATGAACTCAAACTCACTTTTCGTTTCCTCACACACATGTAAAAATCATTACTTTCTAATTTCAAATTATAATTGTAAAACAAAATAGCTTTATTTGTATTTTTATTATTTATTATACGTAACTCAAAATTCTTATTATGTGACCAAAAATATATTTTTTTTTGCATAAAACGATAATATTTTATAAATCGTTATGTTAATTTGTAACAGATTTGAATTTTGCACTTTCGAATTACTAGAATTAAAATTAAGATTTAATCATATTTATAATTTTATACAACAATAACTCACATAGTGCGGCTTTCAACAGTGCGGTTTAAAAATTTCAAAAGATGCATATTTTTGTATGTAATTCCACAATTAGTCCGGTTTCAAACAGTCCGGAAGATATATAACATAAATGTAACAAAAGTTTATTTACAAATATTACCGTTATAATTTTTACAATATTTACATAATTGTTTATGAAAGTGTGTTAAAAGCTAATACTTTATAAAACCGTGTTGTTACGGAACGATAAACACTTTTACTTGGGCGAAAATATGAAATTTAATATTTATAAGGAATCCGAAAGAAAATATAGAAATCTTAATATATCAAGGTAATCAACAATTATAATTACTTATAATATTTCTAAGTTCAATAAATAATTAATTAAAAAATATCTGTATAAATTATTGTTTCATACTAAAACCTCACCTTAATAACATTATCTCGCTTATTAATAAAAACTATTGCTCTTATTCAAATTGTAAATATTATATAATTAAACGTTTCTATGAATAAATTGATTTAATTATATTATGCATTTCTATGATGTTTGTTAAGATATTGTATAAGTGTTTGTTTCAACAAAATAACTTATACAATAATACCTCGCATAGTGCGGCTTTGATTAGTGCGGATTCACTATAATATGCATTGAAAATTTTAAAACAAATTAAATTTTAATTGAGCAAAAAATATTATCTATAATTTATTGATAATATAGAGAAAACACAGTATTTAATTTCAATATTATTATTAATTGATAAATAATAAAGCATGCAATTATAAAAGTAAACTAAATCATATAAACTCGTAGTTATATATAAATGAAATAAATTAATTGGAAATTCGATGATTTGAAATGAAATATCAACGTTTTTTTTATTCATACATTATTCTGGCGATAATTCAACCGCAAATATAATTTTTGAATTATTAATTTATCAAGGTTTATTTAAAATAATAATTGTTATTATTAAAACGCGTACAACAAATTCAACATTTCATTCTGTTCACATATACAAATTTGAACAGATTTTCATCATTATTTTCATAGTTTTGTACTAAAATATATTTCTTATGTAATATTTTTAGGATTTGAAAGAATATATAATCTTCAGTTCAAATTATTAAGAAATATGAAATGGTAGATATTCATCCACTTAACGTACATTTGTACGCTATGGATTATTGATTCATTTGTGCGAGCGAAGAGACACGTATCATAAAAAATATGTATTTATATTAGAACACACCATTCGCTTAGCATACATTCGCTCAATTTGTATACTCATTATGTACGTTAACTGAGCGTTCACTATATATAGTAGGGGTGGAAAAACTGTGGCTCGCGAGCCGCATGCGGCTCTTCAAGAGTATTATTTTTTTTTAATTATAATACCAAAAAAATTAGGTGCGGCTCTTGCTGCAAAAATTCTAGCCACCCCTGATATACTACCCACAATTTCTAACATCATTCACTTATATGAAAAATAAGTTATATAAAATGCATTGATTCCAGGACACATTAATGGACAACCCTGCAGCTTGAAAAACATTACTTTAGCATGCAGTGTTATACTTATGTGTGGCAAATATGTATTACTTCCATAACTTTCTCCCTTTGACACCTTCATTAAACCACGCGTTTTTATTTTGTCTGTTACATATTTAATCATTTACACACCCTGCCATGCATGCAACGACAACATTGCGTGCTACTCCTAATCTACATTTATCTTCGAAAATGTTTGAAGTAAAAAAAAATCATATATATATATATATTTATTAGTACAATTCCCTCGTCTGGCAATGAAACCGCAATATCAAAATCGTTGTCTTTCTCTGTTTATTTAATTAACCAAAATACTATAAAAATATTAAAAAAGTTAATACATTTTCTTTATGTTGTATAACAATTTTACTACTCATGTTTTTAATATAGTTTTAAACAATGATTAGTTGCTTCACTGTATTTAATGGTCAAAATAGGACCAAAATAAATAGACCGTATTAATGTTATATATATTATATTTTTGTATCCACCTTCTATAATTATGAAATATATAAATCTTGATCGTTGTCCTTGGATAATTCATAATAAAAGTCACGAGAGATTGAACTAAATATACTTGAATTCACAATTATTTCGCATTCGAAATTCGGCACGGTCTATCGATAGATGAGGAAAATAAAAGAGAAACAACAATATGAACGATCTCTATACACCTATACACCAATATATAAATGTATATGGGAGTAATTATGGCCTGTTTGAGAGATTCCAATAGGAGATTGGAACTGATACATAAAAGGCTCCGAGCAGCTTTACATAAAACTGGCCACACAAAACTGGCATCATTAAAGTAAAACAAGAAATAAGGTAGAAAGGGAGAGAAGAGATTGTGAGAGCACAGCAAAAGGAAAGAACAAAAGCGAACGCTGGAAAGAGAGCGAGATCAACGAGAACAAGAGTGTATGTTAATGCATTAGAATTTAATGGGTATTTCGTGAAGTCGTTATTGTCCGGCTAGGAAACACACCACAAATGTATTATTTATATGGGGCACGTGGCGAAAACTGAGACGCTGACGTCGCGTTATGTAACGCCCGACGGTTGCGATCCTTGGAACAGCATCATGATCCCAGAGACCGGCTCCCCGATGCGTGTATAACCAGTGGTAATTGCTAAATTGCGCAAAATAACAATAACAAACTGATTGCGAAACGGCCGGCAGCAACAGCAACAAAAAAAAATGTGTCTGCCGTGGAAACAATTCCTTCGTTCGGCTGGAAATTATGCGGTGCATACTCTGGGTGTTTCAACTACAATTGAAATCCTTCGAACGAAACTACTGGTCACCACATTAAGGTTCCCATACACCAAATCCGGCTTAGTCGTTTCAACATCTCTCTGACACATGGAAGTCAATGGTTGAGTGCACACCTTGCAAAATGTATACAGTCAGTGCTTACTTAACGTACATATGTGTACGCAAAGTGAATGTACGTTAATCGGATAGTAAATTCACATTTAAATGCTTGCATTTGCAATTTTTATTTATTCACACATTCTATCGAACGTACTCAATACAGTATGACCTCGTTTAGCGCTTAGGACAAGCGTTAAATAAAACAGCTTTTTCAACCCGCGATATATCGAGAAAGCGTTATTACTGTACGTTCATTTGAACATTGAGTACGTCCTTTAGAATGTGTGTATGACAATCTTGATAATTTATGTACGTAATTTTGAACATTATCTGTATATTTGCTACAATTATACCGAAAGGCAGAACTAATCGAAGATATAAAGATCTACAGTTTTACAGTGATAATTCTCCTAACTGGGCCAGTTATCAATTAGTATTATATATTCCTTAATTCAAGCAGTGCTTAATTTCATTATATATATATGCAATTGATCTTTCAAACTGGTTCTTCTTGAATCACCTGGTATAAAGTTTAATTTTTGTTTTCTTTCTTCGATTGCATTGCGTAAATTGTCGGTCTTCAAATATGGTTGTTGGCAAATTTAGTTGGCCGATTTCTTTAGTTAGGTCTATCTGGATATGGAGCAGGCCGGGCGTGAGTCACACGGCACCTAGGATGTCGTGGGCTTTGCAGCGATGGTCCGGTGGAGGAGAAGTTGCTTGAAACTGGTTGTGGATGTTGTTAATGTTGTTAATGTTTCAGGGCAAGTCGCAGACTCTCTGGCGACACCAGTTGCTGGTTGGGCGGTGGACTCGCTTGGGGCCCCTCGGGCGTGGCACATGACAGGTGCGTCTATCGAACAAAACCTCTACCTACTCACCTTATATCGTTTGATAACCAACCAACCAACCAACTACATATATGTAGATTTCAAGACCATACCATTCACTCTACTTACTTAAGACTCTAAAAACTGAGCACTGCGTGCGAGAGAGCTGGACCACACATACGTCTCTACGTGAACGTATCAGTTCAATATTCATGCACTTTCTTACACAACAACTTCATTTCAAGGTATCACATCTCAGCCGCAGTATTTTACCCTGCACGTTACAAAACGCACATTAGACTCTTAGGAAAAACAATGGCCATATGAATAATGACACCTGGTGAACCTCAGCATCGCCTACATTCTACTGCACAAGACCCACATACATCATTTCTTTTGCAAGCACATTTTCGTTTCTTTCATTCTCATTCTCATTCTTAATTAACATTTGTATTGAGTTTCCTTGTACAATCTTCTATTATTTGAGGCAAGGACAACCACTGACTTCCTCCTATGAATCCTCCAACGCCCAGTAGTAAAATTATTAATTGCACAAACAAAAAATACACTTCTTAAGTTTATAAATATTTATGAATTATTGAATTAGATTTTAAGAAAAAAAAAACATTATCAGATAAAATTGAAATATGTATTCATATGTAAGTGACAACAAATAATCAAAAACATGATTATGGCGTCAAACTGCAAAGTGTACGTTCGTATGAACGTCGAGTACGTTTATGTGAAAAAAGGCACGTATTTACCAAAAATTACCGTGCATTCGCTGAGCGTACGGCAATTAGTACATCAGCCAATTAATAAAACAAATAAACATAATTACTTCTCTCTAAATAAAGGAAAGTTGCCAAATAGTAATCATTATTTTACAATTGATTTTTACGTAAATATGTTAAATATTTCTATAAGTAGTTTGATTAATATTATTACGTATATAATACATTATTATTGTGTAATTTATATTGAAATGTTTGTACGAAGAAATAGCAACAAATGCATACTTATTAATCAATCGTATATAACAAGCTATTGTAAAATCAGCTTTAAAAAAAAAGCATTCCACATTCGTTTGCACCTTTTCGAATTACGAAACGCGTAAATCTTGTTGCTCCGTCCTTGGACAATTCACAACAAAAGTCATGAGAGAGCGACTATCATAAAAATCAACTTTTAATCACTTCTAATTCATCGTTTTCTTTCATAACAATCATGTCACAACAAAAACACATTTGTTATCGTAATAAATAAAATTGGTATTGAACTTTAATTATACAATACCTCGTATAGTGCGGATAGTGAAATCGCATTGATTGAAGCCACACTATGCGAGATATTCTTGTATTTTCAACGTGTTTTTTTATTTATATAGTAGATAAGTTTAGATAATGCAAGTGAACGTCTGCAATGGAACCAATTACATTAATATTTCAAATACATATAACCAATGCTTCATCAAAGTTAAATTAATTTTCAACAAACCCTATGAATAATTCAAGACTTGCGAATTTATAGTTTCCTACGCTGAAACTTTCTATTATCGATTACCTTTCCTTTTTCTTAATTAACAGTAACCTATAGAATTTTAGATTTAAAATGCAATATAATTTTGCTTATGTAAATATCTTTTTATTTATCAATAATTATAATTTGTATTAATTCATTCTTGATACATTTCAATAAAAAATAATTTATATATTAATTAGTATAAATTAATGGATTTTTTTGTATAATTTATTCCATATACAACACATTAATCTTCTTCGCAATAAACAAGAAAAATAATAATTATGTATTTTTAACTTTCACTTTTCTCTAAATCATTAGAATCTCTTTAATTTAACAAATTTCGTTTTTGTTTCGGTAATAAATATCAAAAGGTTCCTACAATTAACCCTAATTCAAGGGATGCGGGGATTTATCGAATTAAATTTATGAAATCTCTACCCTGAAATATATATCTAAATTGGAATTATTCCACAGGCACAGTTCTTGTGACAGTGGGTTTCACTTTGATATTCGCCCTGGAAGCTAAGCCCTTCGTATTTTACGCGTCTCTAATCATCATCTTCCAGATCGGATGGGCCTTGGTACAAATTGCCCACTTGACTATCATAACTATAATCGCCGAGTCCAACAAACACAGTTCCGACCTAACAGCAATCAGGTAATTAAAATAGCAACTTCAGCAGAATAGGATTATCAGTGTGGAAACACTTTCCAGATACACAGCTACTGTCTGCTGCAACGTCTTCGTCTACCTCCTAACATGGGAGATCCTGAAGAACGCCCCGGAAGGAAAAGCTATCGGACCATACGACTTCAATAGATTCAAAGTACTAGAGCTCATTTAAACGATGACACATATAACTATCAATACTTTCAGGAAATCATCCTGATTACAACTGCAATCGGAGTTATTTCCTCGATGTTTTTTTACTGCGGTATTGATGTCCGAAGACCTCGCAATGAGAATAATACTATTGAAACACGTAACTTTTTGAAAACCCTCGTCATATACCAGGTTTCCGTAATGTAAGTGCCGCAGCTCAACGTAGGCAACTCATCGAACCTTCGCTTTTTTATAGGTACATGTCTGCAAGATTGTACTCGATTTTGAATTTAATTTACATTCCGTTATATTTGAACGAAAGGATTACCAAATATAATCAAGAATCCGACTCCATACGTAGCTCCGTTGCTATAATCCCCTTAATTTGCTTTTTGACTTCTTTCATCACATCAATCATTTTAAAGTACCGACCTAACGTGTTATCAGATAAAGTAATATAAACCTCAAAGATTTAAACCCAATAATATCAATTCTTCCATCAGATGATCTATCTGCTGGGCATTGTGGTTGCTTTAATAGCTTGTTTGTGGATAGCGTTCGGAGTATCGGCTTCCAATGCGCCGATTTACGCAATAGCATGTCTAATTGGTACATAGGCATTTAAACAATTTGTATAGAATTTTAAATATTATATATTTTAGGTATTGGAAGTTCTTTTACACTAATAGCTAGTTTGTGTTTAACAGCTAAAATCGTTAGCACAAACGGTTTTAAAGGAGGATCAGTGTACAGCACGGTTACTTTCACGGATAAATTAGTGACAGGCCTACTGGTTTTCTTAATACAGAACTTGTAACAGGATATAAAGGCTAATATCAAAAATACTTACTTAGTATATATTTTTTTTAGAATATGTTATGACGAATGTTCGGACTTCTACCAGAATGTTTTGGCGTATGCAACTGGAAGCTCTATGTTACTAGGATTATTATCTCTAGCAACTTTGCAATACACCAATCCTGATTTGGCAGGACATTAGTCCAAATCTTGTCCGTACTTCTCGAATAAACCAATAATGGTATCCATTTCTTTGTAACTCGGTTGTGGCTCGCAACCGAAGTTAATCCTCCAGAAGTTACCCATGGTCTTGAGAGGACTGTACCCGATCATAGCAGCGCCATCGAAAACCATGAGCTTCTTCATTCGCGGTGCCACCAAATACAACCTATCCCACCACTCCTTGTCTTCCTCCAAACCTCTCATGCTCTTAGGAATGTAGTAGAAACAAACGTTCGAGGACTCAAACTGCTGGAGCACCAAGCGGAATCCTTCACGCCCATCAATGCTTTCTTTGAAATACCTTTTTTATATCGTTCATTTTACCGAGAAAGTAAATAAATTATACCGATATCATATAGACTTTGGTATTATTACCTGGCGCAATCCATCAAATGATCGACGCGTTCCTTGAAGCCCTCGTCTCCACGAGCTTTCCACATCACCCACAGCTTGAAAGCGTCCACCTGAAAATCAATTTTCACTACATGTTACTTACATAATAAAATACTTTTACAATACACATACTTTTCTGCCGCATTGGATGCTTTTATTTCCAGTATCATACGCGTTGTCGTAATACTTGTCGGGTTGGAATAAATAATTTGCAGAAGTTGTGTTGCACTCTTGTAGCAAATTCTAAAAGATAGAAGAGCAATTAATTTGCTTGGTTGTTAGTAATGCAATAAGCACCTCGTGTCTGGTAATAAATATTGCACATTGCAGTGGAGCGCCCAACATTTTATGTGCATTCCAAGCTATAGAATCGCTCCTGAAATGGAAGACACTTACTATTCAAGAGTTATCAAGAAAATAAATATGATTTACCTTTCGATGCCTTTTAAGCGGATTCTGTGAGTTTCTGAAAATATCAACGAACCTCCGAAGCAAGCCTAAAAATGTAAAAAATAATGAGTAATTGAAACATAAGTTGTTTTTTTTTAACACACGTCGACGTGCATCCAGATGCCATATTTCTTGCAGATGTCGGCTACGTCGTCTAAAGGATCGATGGCTCCCAGAACTGTAGTACCCACAGTGGCGTTCACTGCAATCGGAATTTTACCAGCTCTGGAACACTCGACGATCTGCATCTCAAGATCATGCGGGATTATTTTCCCATTTTTATCCGTCTTCACTTTGATTACGTTGTCTGTTCCATATCCTAACCAGTGCGCTGTCTTCTGAATAGAGTAATGAGACTGAAAAACCGGAAATATTTAACTAATTTGCAAAGGTCAGTAAAATTGAGTAACAGACTTCTTCTGATGTTAAAATGACGAGAGTGGGGACTGAAGCAATGCCTTTGGTTTTGATGTCTGGGAATCTCTGGTGTCTAGCTAAGACCAACCCGTACATATTGGATATGCTACCACCAGGCGCAAATATGCCATCACCGGTTTCGAAGCCAAAAAGCTTTCGCACGTGTTTGAGGATAGCAATTTCCGAGAGTGTGAAAACCGGAGCTACTTCGTATGTATGTTGGTTGGTGTTTAAAGCTTCGGATATCCAAGTACCAGCCAGACCGTAAATATCGACACCGCTATAAAGTTGATTGCAGAAGCGCGGATGACTGGTCTTCACGCTATACTTGATGGCCTTTCTGCAGATCTCTATCAGCTCCTTCGTATCAACGACGCGTTTATCCACAGAGAAGTCTATGCAACGCTACAGTAATAAAAAGAAAACGCACGCAAATTAAATGGA